TTGGGTATCTTGGGTTTGTCCAAAAAAGACTTGGTTCACACTTTTTGGGTCTATGATTCCTAGACATTAACTCATTGCCTTTGAGCTAGTTCTGGCTCTTGAAGACCATGTATTATAGAGTGGAACTGCCCCACTGGGTTTTCTTGGCTGTAATCTTCAGGGAAACTGAATGCCATGCTTCCCCTGTAATTCTGCTGAGTGGGTTCAGACCACTAGCTGTTAGTAGGTTAGGAGTTAAGCACAAACCATTTGCACCTTATGGGGACCTAGATTTTATCCACACAGTATTCTCTTTTAATTGCATAGAGCGGTGACCTGTAGCTTCTCTCTTCACTGAATTCACTGGTGACTGATGTACTTCATCTCTCCAGAAGAAAGAAGGAAGGGAGGGAAGCTACCATTTGAGACTTCTGCTGATAACTACTGACATTCACATTTTTTCTTCTAATACTTTATTGATTTTCCAAACAATAATTTATACACGTGTTTTATTCATGTTGTTGTTAGGTGCTGTCGAGTCAAGTACGACTCATAGTGACCCTATGAACAAAAGATTTGAACTCTGCTCTATCCTGTGCCATCCTCACACTTCCTGACACACAAGAATCTTTTGCAGTCACCGCATCAGTCCACCTGGTTGAGGGTCTTGCCCTCCTTTGCCGACCCTCCACCTTCCCAGTATCATGTCCTTCTCCAAGGAATAGCCCCTCCTAACAACATGCCCAAAGTTCTTGCCTCCAAAGAGCACTCAGGCTGCACCCTTTCTAAAACATAATCGTTTGTTCTCTTGATTGTCCATGGGATGTTCAGGGTTCTTCTCTAATACCACAACTCAAAGACGTCAATTTTTCTTCTGTCATCCTTATTCATTGTCCAGCTCTCAAATGCATAACAAGTAAAAGTGCATAGTAAGAAAAACTATGGCCTGAATCAGACCTTAATTCTCAAACTGAAATCATTACTCCTCAATAATTTAGAGGTCCCTAACTGCAGATTTTCCTAGTGTACTGTGTCTCCTTATTTCCTGACCTGGTAACAAGGGTGTTAATTGTGGATCCAAGAAAGATGAAGCTGTTGACACTTAACCATCTACTCTCCATCCATCCTGATGATGCTTATTGGTCGAGTGGTAAGAATCTTTTTTTCTGATATTGAGATGCTATTCATACAGAAATGTGCATTCCTTGCTCTGCAACAAGTGCTTCAACTCCTCACTTTCAGCAAGCAAGGTTGTATCATCCGCATAACACAGTTTATTGATGACTCTCCCTTCAATCCTGATGCCACACTCCTCTTCGTAGAGTCTAGCTTCTCAGATAAAACTTTGTTCAGCATACAGATTGAGTAAGTATGGAGAGAGAATACAACCCTGGCACACTCCCTTCCCAATTCCAAACCATGCAGTGTTCCCCTGCCCTGTTCTCCCAGTAGCCTCCTGATCCAGGTATAGGTTCCTCATGAGCACAATTAAATGCTCTGGATTCCCATTCTTCATTCATGTGCATTGTCTTATACAATCTTTAATTTTCATTGTGTTTGATACAGTCAGTCATATCTATTGCATTTTATAAAATTAATTACTATTGATCTATGCCTATTATTATCCCATCTTTTCAAGGGCCCACTGAATCTTTCCTATTCCTTTATCCCCTCATCTGATCACTAACTTCTGCTATCCTAGTAATTTCCTTCCTTCTCCCCCTTTTGAACATTTATATACATCTTGTTCACTTATCCTCCTCATTTTACAATAATGGTTTTGTGCAGTGTTTTTCCTTGTGAAAATGAGATAGTTGACTCAGCATAATGCTCTCTAGACTCTTCCATGTTATATAACACCTTATGAAATAATTGTTCCTTAGTGCTGTATAGTATTCCATTGGGTGACTGTACCATGGTTAGCCCATTCGTTTGTTGATGGGCATTTGGGTTGTTTCAATTTTCTTGTTATTGTGTATAATGTTGCTATGAACATAGGTGTATATACCTCCATTTGTGTCTCAGTTCTAATTTCCTTGAGGTTTATTCTTAACAGTGTGATAGCTGGGACATGGCATATTTCTGTTTTCAACTTTCTGAGGAAATGCCAACTTGCATTTTAGAGTGGTAGTACGATTTTATCATCCTTCCAGCAATGGGTGAGAATTCCAGTCTCTTCGCATCCTCTCCCAACATTTATTTTGCTAGTGCTACAGGGGTGAGATGATATCTGTTGTCTTGACTTTTCATCTCTCTGATTGCAGTGATTTTGAACATTTCCCCATGTGTTTGTTGCCCATTTGAATGTCTTCCTTTGTTTTTTCCATGTCTTTTGGCCATTTTGTTGTTGGGTTATTTGTCTTTTTTCTTATGGAGGTCTTTTGTTGTTGCTGTTAGGTGCCGTCAAGTCATTTGAGACTCAAAATGACCCTATGTACAACAGCCCTGAAACCTGTTCTATCCTGTGCCAACTTTATTGTCTCCAACACACCTACCCTCATTAACCCAGTCACTGTATCAGTCTATCTCTTCGATGGTCTCCTTCTCTTTCTCCATCCCTCCACCCTTCCAAGCCTGCTGTCCCTCTCCAAGAACCAGTCCCTCCTTGTAACATGCCCAGAGTATGTCAGAAGAAGCCTCAGAATCCTTGCCTTCAAGGGGCAGGCTGGCTTTAACCTCTCTGGGATGAACTTGTTTGTTCTCCTGGCAGTCCATGGTATATTCAAACTCTTCTCCAGCACTACAGCTCAAAGGCATCAGTTCTCTTCCTATCATCCTAGTCATTGCCCAGCTCTATAATGCATAGCAAGCAGTTGGCCTGATCAGGCACACGTTAGTCTCCAGACTGACATTGTTGCTCTTCAGTACTCTGGAGAGGTCCCTGACAGCTGACTTTCCAAATGCAATTAGTTTCTTGATTTCCTGGCTGCTGGTACTGAGAGTGTTGATTGTGGAGCCAAGCAAACAGAAACTGTTAACAATCTCAGTCTCTTCACCATCCATCATGCTGCTGCTAATGTGGAGGCCTTGTAGTATTCTAAAAGCTCATTATGAGAACCTTGTCTGAGATGTTGTTGCCAAATGTTTTTTCCTAGTCTGTAGGCTTTCTTTTTACTCTGTTGGAAAAAGGTTTTGATACATACAGGGGCTTAATTTTTAGAAGGCCCCATTTGTCAATTTTGTCTTTTCCTGGTTGTACATTTCTAGCTATAATGCCATAGACTAGGGCTTCTAAGTTTGGTCCCATTTTGTCCTTGATGATCCTTATGGTTTTGGGTTTTACCCTTAGGTCGCTGATCCACCTTGCACACTCAACATTTTTAAGTGCTCCTGTTGAGCATGGCATTGTCCTTGGTGCTTTACATGCATTATCACTTCATATCCCCCAAAAGTCCATGTGATTAGTACTTTTGTTGGAACCCATCAAGACAAACAGCAGTTCAGTATGACAGTAGATCTACCGCACAAGGTTTCCTCAGCTGTAAAATTTACAGCAGCAGATTGCCATGGGTTCATGTTTATGCAATGGTTTGTGCTGTTAACCAAAGGTTAAGCACCTCTCCAGTGGTTTAACAGTGGCTCCACAAGTAAAAAACAGGTAATCTCTCCCGGTTAAGATTTAGAGCCACAGAAACTTGATTGTTGTTGTTATCTTCTGTCACTTCAGAACTGATCCTTGGCTGACCCTCCAGTGGTCTGTCAGAGGCAATAAATTGCACAGGAGAAGATTACTTATCTTTCTCCTGTGGAGCAGCTGGTGGGTTTGAACTTCATACCTTTTCATTGGGGGTGTATCTTCTTACCAGTAAGCTCCTTACCAGAGCTCCCTGTGGAGGATAGTTATGAGTCTGAATTGACTTAATGGCAGTGAGTTGAGTTTCTCATGGATCAGCTGGTAGGTTCAGACCACTGAGCTTTCAGGTAGTAGTGGAGCTCTTGTTATAATGTGCCATTGAGCTGACTCTGACTCATAGTGACCCTCTTCACAATAGCTCTGGACTCTGCCCTATCCTAAGCCTGTCTCACTGTTTCTGACACACCTACTCTCATTATTCCAGTTACTGTGTCAATCCATCTCATCTAGGGTCTTCCTCTCCCTGTCCTCTTTACCCTGTCCTTTCACCCTTCCACACAGGATGTCCTTCTCCAAGGAATAATTCCTCCTGGTCACATGCCCATAGTATGTGAGATGGAGCCTCACAATCCTTGGCTCAAAGAATGGTTTCACCCTTTCCAGGATAGACCTGGATGTTCTCTAGGCAGTCCATGGTGTGTTCAATACTCTTCTCCAGCACCACTCAAAGGCTTTGGTTCTTCTTCCATTATCCTTATTCATTGTCCATTGCTCAGATGCATGGTAAGCAACTAAGAAGACATGGCCTCAGTCAGGCACACTTTAGTGTCTAAACTGACATCATTGCTCTTTAGCACTCTAGAGAGGTTATTGACAACAGATTTTCCCAATGCAACTTGTCTTTTGATTTCCTGACTACTGGTACCAAGAGTGTTGATTGTGGAGCCAAGCAAGATGAAATCATTAACATCGTCAGCCCTTTCTCCATCTATACCTTGTGGATGCTGTCTTCATTGAGTCTTGCCTTTAGGTGGCTCTTCTGATTTTGAGCTTTTGGATATGATACTTGGATCTGGCAGGAGAGGCAGAAAGACCTGGGCTTTGTGTGAATTCCTGGGTGTTTGATCCAGCATCCAGCCGTCCCGAACACCACCAGAGCAAAGGCTTCCAGAATCAAGCAAGAGAAGTGGGGTAGGGTGTGGGATGCAAACATCAGCACAAGGATCCAAGGTATGGCTACCTCAGAGCCTCCTGCAAGTACTTCTGTCGTGTAGCAGGAAGAGGTGGGGTACTCTCCTTGGACATTGCTCTTTGCTGAGAAAAGTAGCCAGAGAAGATGAAGCTTAGGTCTCCTCCTGGGTCTACCTGGCTTCCCTCTGTCTCTGAGGGCTGACTTCTTTCTTTCTTCTCAGGCAGTTCCTGATGGCTGCAAACTAACAGTAGAACTATGAGTTCACCTTTGGCCTCTCTTGGAAAGACTCGGAGAGTGCCCCTGCCATCGGAGCCTACGAACCCAGGGTAAAGTGGTCATGTCCATCCCTCTGTCTCTTGTCCACCTCCTGTGATTAGAAGAGAATGACTCCTGATGTCCTGGAGAATACAAAGAATGACATTCCCGACCACCTTATCTTTCTCTTTATACCTTCTTTTGGGAATCTGCACTTTGGGTCACACAGTAAACTGGCCTGGACTGTTATGAGGCCTGAGGAATGACTCACCATCCTTCTACTCATCTATGCTCATTTGTTCACTCTGCAAGCATTGATGATGTCCCCATCCAAGCCCAAGTCCCGTGCTGAGTACCTTGGTTTTTTAACCTGATCTTTTCAAATCATTTTATGCTGCTTTTTTATTTCTTACTCTCCTGAACACCAGTGTAAGTCATTCTAAGGCCATGGAGACCCAGAGAGGTTAAGTGACATGAGTCCCACAGGCATTTCAGGGCGGCACTGAGGCTGAAGTCTCAACCTCAGAAAATGTTCTAGTCTTTCTACACAAGACCCTTCCTTCAGCTCTGTCCCATTCATCTCTACTGGGAGAATTTAAACTAGCCTAACCCAACCCACTGCCATTAATTAAATTGCAACTCATAGCAGCTCTCCAAAAGCTGTTTCTTGGCCTTCCCCAACCTGGGGATGAATTAAGGATACAAATATTCAAGAGGCAACAGCCCAACCTCCATCCTGTTTAGCTTTGGTGGGAGGTGGAAGGGCAGCCCTGTTCTGCAGCCAGTAGCCCAAGGAGCCCTAACTTGCATTTTCTCCTTCTCCTTTTTGCCTGGGTTCCCAGGAGGCGAGGGGTAAAAATCTACGGAGATGGTAAGTGTGCGATCTGCCTTCATCTCCCCTTCTCCTGCTTCCTACTTGCGTCTCCTTTGTGCTGGACAGATGCAGAGAAAGGCACATGATGAGGTCGCCTGTTAGCCAGAGACAGAGAGCTGACCTGACTCTAGTGTCACCTCAGCGCTCTCAGCCTCTCCCTGAGAACTGGGCATCCCTCCTGGCAGCTTTCCGATTGGAAGCACCACATCCTTAACAGAGCTCTTGGCCCTTCTCACTCTGCTCTCCTCCCCATTACGGTCTTTCCTGAGATGGAAGGCCTGTCCTCCTACCATTGCCCTGACTCCTGTAGGTTTAGGCCTTTGGATCCCAACCCACCCGTGTCCCAAGGTGCTGATATTGGTCCCTTGGGTTCCCTATCCCTGCTGCAGGAGCTGCCTGGTTGGATACTTGTTCTTTGACTTCCCAATTTTTTTTTATCTTCATACCTTTGGGGACAGAGGACAGGGTTCAGCCTCTGAGCAGTGACCTGAGCATCTCTATCTGCAGAAGATGAGGTGGATGTGCTGAATGATGGACAAGGCTCAGAAGAAAAACTCTCGATCCCTTCCTGCTATGGAAACATAGGCGCGCCCGTGGGTAGGCAAGGTGAGAACAGAAGCCCCAGGGTGTCTGGGTCTTAACTGCAGGAGGGGATTCCATAGGAGGAGTGATGGGATCCAGGGAGGAATGACACCCACTTTATTCTTCACCCCCTGCTCCTGGCTGACTGTAGCCAGGTGCATGCCCATGAGACCTGTTCAGAGCCTGATCTGGCATAAACCCACACAGGCTCCACTTTGGCCCAGAAGATCTCATAAAGCCCAGACCAAGCTGTGGCTGAAGGCTGTAGAGTGGACCCAGCAGGATGATGCACGATGTCAGTAGGTCCAAAATTCAGATTCAGTGCTTGCTTCGGCAGCACATATACTAAAATTGGAACGATACAGAGAAGATTAGCATGGCCCCTGCACAAGGATGACACGCAAATTTGTGAAGCGTTCCATATTAAAAAAAAAAAATTCAGATTCAGAGAGGAATGAAGGGCCTAAAGGGGAGCTCAGCCTCTGGCCTCCTGCTTCCATGGGGCTCTGGCTAAGGTCCAAAATCCCATGGATAGCCCACCTCACCTGGCTCACACCATCCCCAGTGGACTATGCTGGTGCGTGCTGAGATCAGGACAGCATTTGAAGTAGGATGGGACTGATGAGGGGGCTTTCCACAGGAGGTGAAAGTGAGCAGACCTGGGAAGAAGGGATGACTTGGGCAGGCCAGGACCACCACGCAGGACCAGAGTTTAAACGAGGTGTCTGGAGGTAGTAGGGTTGAGGGTAGAATTCTACACTAGCTGTAATGTCAAAGGTCTCTGTCTCTATTTCCTCCTCTGTGGACTGGGCATGGACTCACCTGGTTCCATGTGCTGACGTAAGGGTTCGATGAAATACTGGTTGGCAGAGGTGCCCTTGATAATTCCTGCCACACTGAGGGTTCTTAGAGTTGTGACCCCTTCTCAGGTCAGTGAAGATCTGGATCAAATGTCCCTTCCATTTTAAAGATGAGAATTGGGGTCCTGAGAAGGGAAGAGCTTGACCCTAGATTCTAGAACCATTTAGCCACAAACCCAGAATCTCTGCACCCCAGCTTAGAGCCCTTTCTTCTCTTAAGAGAGCTGTCTATATCCTTTCTACACTTCTCCCCTCTCATCCATTCCCATCCTACACAGCAGGTGTCTGTCCCTGCCATTCACTGGCTGCTCCCACCAGGGTGACAGCTAAGGACTTGTCTGTCCCCTTTCCTTTTCTTCTCAGCTGCACTTAGCACAATTTACTCTCTCCTTCTCAGAACACCCTCATCTTTGAGCTGCCAAGACTCCACTCAGCTAGTTGTTTTCCTACCTCCCAGACTCATTCCTCTCAGCTTACCTTTTTTAGCTGCTGCTTTTCCTCAACAGCTTTCCAGTGTGGGAGTTCCCCTGCTTATATTCCTTCTCCACTCTGCCTCTGTGAGCTTATCCATGCTCTGAGTGCCAGTGGTCCCAAATGTGTCTATCTCTGTCAAAAAGTTTGGTTTCTTTTTGGGGGGGTGGTTTTGTTGTTTTTTGTGGTTTTTTTTTAAATTATAGGTTAGCTGAAATGTTACATAGCAAGATAGTTTTCCATAGAACATTCTACACACATTTTCTTAGTAATCCCCAGTAAAACCGTATAACCCACTTCCTCCCCAGGTTCTGTTTCCATTCATCTTTCTTTCCTGCCTTCTGAGCTTTGTTATTAGCTAAATGCTGCCCTTTTGGTTAGCTGCTCTAGGAAGTATTTCTCATAGGTGTTACTGTTCATTTTCTAGACCTGTCTAGTGTTTGGCTGAGAGGTGATCCCTGGTGGGAGGTTTGTTCTAGATTTGAAGGCTGTCTAAGGGTCACAGCCTCAGAGCTTCCCCTAGTCTCTGTCAGACCAGTAAGTCAGGTCTTTTTTTAAAGAAAAATTTTGAGTTTTATTTCACATTTCTATCCCACTCTACTCTGGTGACCCAGTAGATAAGAAGTTGTGCTGATAGTCCAAAGGGAGGTGGTTTGAATTCACCAGCTGCCCCGAGGGAAGATGATGGGCAGTCTCTTCCACTGCACTTTACAGCCTGTGAAAATCTGCTAGAGGGTCAGCTATGAGTTAGTTCAGACTCCACAGCAATGAGTTGAGCTGTATGGACAAAGAGATCAAATCCATTAAGTGAGGAAAAGATGGCTTCATTGACAAAGGGTTCTGGAAAAACTAGATACCAGTTTCCAAAAAATTGAAACAAGATCTATATCTCCCATCATTTAAAAAAAACAAAAATTGACTCAAGATGGATCAAGGAAAGAGGCAGGAAGCCTAAAAGTAAAAGAGGAAAATGATGGCAAACTTAGGAGCCCCAGTCAATGGCATAGATTATCAAATATCACTGAAAATTCAGTCACTGGAAGATAAATTAGATGACTGGCGCTGCCTAAAAAGCAAATCAATATATGCTTCAAAAGGCTTTTGTAAAAGAAAACCTACAAACTAGGGGAAATATTTGGCAATGACATAGCTAACAAGGAATGCCTCTCTAAACTTTGTAGAAAACTCTAACGCCTCAACAGGAAGACAGTGGAATTACAAAATGGGCAGAGGACAAGAATAAGCATGTCACCAAAGAAGACATTCAGATGGCCGACAAACGCATGAAAAAATTCTCAAGATGAAGAAACATGCAGAAATGCTCAAATGCTATTGTCAAACTCGAACACACTGCTTCTGAGTTGGAACTAACTCATAGTTGACCCTCCAGTGGGTTTTTGGAGGCTGTAAATGGAACGAAAGGAGATTGCCCATCTTTCTCCCTCAGAGCCACTGGTGGGTTGGCAGCTTAGCTCCCTATGGACTGTACTAGCCGAGCACCATAGATGCACATCAGAGTAACAGCGAGATAGCATCTCACCTCAGAATCAATATAAAAGTTCCACAAGACAGTAAACAAGAAATGCTGGAGAGGATGTGGAGAGATTGTGACTCTTAGACACTGTTGTTGATGGGAATGTAAAATGGTGCAACCACTATGGAAAACAGTTTAGCACTTCCTTAGAAAATTGGGAATCGATCCAGCAATGCCAGTGTTGTTGTTAAGTGCTATCAAGTCAAGTATGACTCATAGTGACACTATGAACAAAAGATCTGAAACCAGTCCTGTCCTAAGTCATCCTCACACGTCCTGACACACAAGAGCCCATTGCAACAGTCACTTTGTCAGTCCACTTGGTTGAGGGTTAACCTCTCCATTGCCAACCCTGCACCCTTCCCAACATCACGTCCATCTCCAAGAAATAGCACCTTCTATCAACATGCCCAAAGTATGTGAGGTGAAGCCTCATCATTCTTGCCTCCAAAGAACACTCTGGCTGCATTCTCTCCAAGACATATCTATTTGTTTTCTTGGCTGTTCATGGAATGTTCAGTGATCTTCTCCAGCACCACAGCTCAAAGACATCAATTCTTTTTTTGTCATTCTTATTAATTGTCCAGGTTTTGAATGAATAACTAGTAATCGGAAAGACCATGGCCTCACTCAGACACACCTGAGTCCTTAAACTGACATCACTACACCTCAGTAATTTGGAAAGGTCCCTAACTGCAGATTTTCCCATTGCAACGGGTCTCCTTATTTCTTGACTGCTTGTACCAAGGGTGTTAACTGTGGATCCAAGCAAGGTGAAGCTGTTGACAGGTTCAATCTCCTTTCCATCCATCATGACACTACCTATTGGTCCAGTGGTAAGAATCTTAGTCGTCTTGATTTGAGATGCAATCCATACTGAAGGCTGCATTCCTTGATCTTCTTCAACAAGTGCTTCAAATCCTCTTGACTTTTAGCAAAGAAGGTTGTGTCATCTGCATAATACAGGTTATTGATGAGTCTCCTTCCAATCCTGATGCCATATTCCTCTTCTCAGAGTCCAGCTTCTCAGATAATATGCTCAGCATATAGATTGGACAGGTATGGAGACAGAATACATCCCTGACACACTCCCTTCCCAATTCTAAACCATGCAGTGCTCCCCTGCTCCATTCACGTAACAGCCTACTTGTCCAGGTAATGGTTCCTCATGAACATAATTCAAGTGCTCTGGGATTCCTATTCTTTTTTTTTTGATAGGCTTTGAGATTTGTATTTTTAAGTGACCTAACCTTTTGGGATTCCCATTCTTCTCAATGTCAGCTACAGCTTGTTATGATTCACACAAACACCTTTGCATAGTCAACAAAGCACAAATAGACATTCTTCTGGTATTCTTTAAGCCAGGATTCATCTGACATCAGCAATGATATCCCTGGTGCCACAGCCTCTTCTAAATCCCTCTTGAACTTCTGACAATTCCCTATCTATGAACTCTTTCCAGCCATTTTTGAATGATCTTCAGCAGTATTTTGCTAGCATGTGATATCAGTGATATTGTTTGGTAATTTCCACATTCATTTGGATCACCCTTTTTGGGAATAGGAACAAAAATAGACCTCTTCCAATCCACTACTAGGTATATATCCCAAAGAAGTAAAAGCTGCAACACAAACTAACATATATACATACATTCATGGTCATTGCAGCATTATTTACAGCAGCATTGAGACAGAAACAATCCAAGTGTCCATCAGTGGACAAATTGCTAAAGAAATTGTGATACAGCCATATAGTGCAGTATTATGTAACACTTAAAAACTCAAGAATTTGTAAAGTAATGAAGTAATGTACAGTATGGATGAATCTAGAACAAATTATGCTGACTGATATAAGTAAGTCACACAAAAAAGAGAATTTTAATGTAAGACCACTATTGTATAAAAGTAAGGAAAGGTTTACACCCAATTTATCAATCTTGGAGGGATAAAATAGATGAGAAAGAAGAGAGAAGGGAGTAAAACTGAGTGAATAGGTAAGTTGTTGGGTAATAAGAAAAACAGTGTACAAGAAGGGGTTGATTAGACATTGTAATTAGTTAATTACTTTATTCAGTGGCAATTAATGTTGTATGAATGGTTTATTTGCAAAACCAGTAGGATTTGTACTCAATAAATAAATATATTTGCAATGAAAACAGAATAAGTAAAACAATATAAATGAGGAGATAATATGTTGTTTCTCATGGGTGGAGCTGAAGGAAGATTAACAAAACAGAATGTAAATCCAAAAAAGGGCTAGAGCTCGCTCAGGCCACTAGTTACAGGTTCTCACTAGATGGTTCGCTGCTAACATTGTTAAACATTTTGATCAAAGATTCTGGAGAAGAATCCTAGTCAAAGGAGGAATTTCAAATACTTATGGAATCCAGATGGTCTGGAGCTTTGGAGCCTGGATGAATGTCTTAAACTATTGCCCTGATAAAGTCTTTAAACCTTAAACCAAATATATTCATTGGCGTCTTAAAATCAAACCATAATTTAGTTTGACTAGTGAAGAATGTCTGCCATAAGCATTGCATATTTACATGGAAACAAATTGATAACAAGGTGAAGGACTAGGTAGGAATCTTAGCAGCTCTGTGTCTGAGTTCATGTGGGGAAGGAAGGTGAACGTGGAAGTGCACCTTGTGTAATGTACTCAGTGTCTCTGAAGTGAGCATGTAGAAACCTGAATTGGAATGTGTTTCTGCTGTGTATAATGAATGAATAATAACAATAAATTATTAATTTAAAAAAGAGTTGAAGGTGTTTCATATCCAGCTTCAGAATGTCAACCCTCTTGGCTGCAATGACGAGTGCAGCTCTGGCTTTACACACAGAAATGACAGCATTGGGGGAGGCAGAGGGCTTTTCTTTCCTCTCATTTTCTCTTTTCCTAAACATTTTATTTTGAAAGATTTCTAACATACAAAAAAGTTGAAATAATGATGTAGCACCCATATGGCTTCCATCTAAATTCAATTGATGACATTTTACCATATTTACTCTCTCTCTCTCTCTCTCTCTACACACACACACACACACGAGAATGTTAACGTATGCTCTGGTTGAACCATTTAGAAATAAATTTCACCTCTAAAAATGCACATATCCTATGAATAAGGAAATATATAGCCACAAAATCATTATCATAAGAATAGGAACTCTGGTGGCCTAGTGGTAAGAAGCTGTGCTGCAATCCCAGAGGCATGAGGTTCGAATCCACCAGCTGCTCTGTGGGAGAAGGATGGGCAGTCTCCTCCCACATGATTAACTGCCTCTGAAAACCCACTGGGAGGTCAGCTATGAGTCAGTTCCAATCCAACAGTACAAAACACCAAGTCCTGCAGGGAGCTCTGGTGGCTCAGTGGTAAGGAGTTGCACTGCCAACCCAAAGGCAGGTGGTTCAAATCCACCAGCTGTTCCACTGGAGAAAAAGGGACTGCCTCCTCCTGTGCAATTTATAGCCTTTGAAAACCTGCTGGAGGGTCAGCTATGAGTCACTTCTGACTCGACAGCACATAGCAAAATCAATACAGTGTCCTACATCAAAATTTTCCCAGTGCTCTCATGTTCCCAGTCTTCTCTTTTTTCTAATTTTAACTACTTTTAAAGCATAGAATAGAATTCAATAAAATTAATTAAATTCACCATGTCTTGAAAGTTTAAATCACCTCAAAGTTTAGTACTCCATCAGTAATAACTTCAATTTCCTCCTTTCCACTTACCCCTAAGCAACCAAACAAAAACCCACTGCTGTTGCGTTGATTCTGACTTAGAGTGACCCTGCATCAGGTTTCCGAGGCCTGGGCACCAAAGAGCTTATCTGGTTGGCAGGCACTGCATTCCATGACTCAGACTTGTTGACTTCCATGGCGAGGAGGTTGCAGGAGCTGGAGCAGGAGCTGAAAGTCCAGTCTGCCGAGATAATGGCCAAGGTGGGATACCAGGAGAAGGCCAGGGGGCAGTCTGAAGGGTGGAGGGTCCTAGGATGGGCAGCCAGAAAGGCCAGGGATGAGGCCATAGCCTATGGGTTCTGGGACCACTTTCCCCATTTAACTGCCTAGCAGAAGACCAGGTCTAGGTCTGGGACTGATTGAGGTCACTGAGCAGAAAGACCAAGAACTGTGTCCAGAGGACTTTGAGTGGTGGCAATGTGGTGCTGAGTGCTGTACCCCCAGACACCATTTGGCACACCTGGGGTATAATGCCTTTCTTTCACCAGGAGTCATCAGAGTTACCTGAGGTAGAGGATTGGGGAGGGACAAGGAGGAGTTTTAAGCTCCCCAGCATACCCACACAGGCAGGAATTCTGGACCTTCTCCTCTGGAGGGGCAAGCCACATTCCTGACTCCCTGGGCTCTGGGAGTCACAGGCCTCATGGTGACCTTGTGTCTTACTGCTGCAGGATCAGAAGATATTGGCCCTGGAGGACTTAGTGCAGAAGCTTCAAAACCACGGTAAGAGGCCCCCTCAGTGGTATGAGTTGCCTGGTCCCCTGGGTCAGGCACCTCCCCAGGCTGGTGGCTCTTGAGGTCTTGGGCAGTCATCACTGAGCATCAGGGCTCCAAGAGCACATCCAGGTCAGTGTTAGAGCCACCCAGCACGTTTGTATGTGGATTGAGCCTCAGAGGGCAGGAGAACTTAGTTCAAGGATGGGAAAGAAATCTAAAAGTGTGAGAACCACCTTCAGGGACCTCGAACTCAGGCTGTGGTCTCCTAAGAGCCTGTCATAGTGTCCCCTATTGAGTCAAGTGGAGAGACCTGAGAGAGAAGGACCCAAATGTAGTTTTGGGGGCTCCCCAAAGACCTTGGTGGCTTAGTAGTAAGGAATTGTGTTGCCAGAGCAAAGGTATGTAGTAGAAATCCACCAGCTGAGAAACTGCTGGAGGGTCAGCTGGGTGGTACACAACAACAACATCATGCTGGAAGAGGTAGAAGATGAGAGAAAGAGAAGATCCTCCACAGGATGGATTGGCGCAGTGACTGTAACAGTGGGCTCCAGCGTCTCAGGTGGTGAAGATGGTCAAGGTTCTGAGCTGTTTGGGTCGCTCTAAGTTATAGCTGACTTGTTGGTTCCTAAAAACATGCTCTTAGGATGAGCCCTGCAGTGGTGAATGTGAAGTGTTGAGAAGCTGGTAGTTTGAACCCCCTGTTGGCTCAATGGGAGTAAGATGAGGCAGTCTAAATCTGGTTACGGTTACAGCCTCGGAGACCCACGGAGGTTTACCATGAGTCGGAATCATCACTAAGTCACTGCTTGGCGGTAGAGGGTTGGGTTTGGCTTGGCTTCTCAGAGGGGAGCTCCGGAGCTGGGCCGGCAGCCTCTGAGTTTGGGCTGGTGAACACTGTCTCCTCTTTCCCTGAAAGGTGAGGGATCCTTGAATCGAGAAGAGGAACTGGAAGCAACGTGCCTGCAGTTACAGCGACAGATTGGGGAGATGGAGGTGAGAGAGGAGGGGCCCATGTCCCAGCAGAAACTGTGCCGGAGCCCACTTCCCTGAGCACCCCACAATTCCATCCAGGGATCCAGATGTCCTGGCTAGGGCACACATTCCTCCAGGAGCCTGCATGTGCCCTCGCCTGCTCAGCAGACCTCGTACCTCCCCATTGCTCTTGATCTAAATGCTGGAGTCTTCACCATTGCCCTGTGGGGCCCTGCCTGCTGCTTTAGTTTCATCTTAAACCTCTTCACAATTCCTCTAGTCATGGGGCCCTTCCTGGTTCCTTGTCCATTTGGGTCATTTCCTACCTCGAGACCTTGGCTCATTTGCAGTGTTCTTTCTTATCTTACTCTGGCCAGTTTCCACCCATCTTCAGTCTCAATTGTAGGTTACTTTGTCAGAGGCCCTGCTTGGCCTCTAACTACAGAGTCTGTCACAATGCCTCACTTTCCTTGGTGACTCATTTCCCTTCCCTCATTGAACTCCACAGGAGAAGGGACCATTTGTGTTCACTATCACATTCCCGGTGCCTCCCACACTCTAAACCAGGCTACATGTTCGTTGAAGTGCTCAAGGCCATTCCCAGTCTTTGCGCATTACTTTTCGCCCGTGAGTCAGTTACTCCAGCCTCCACTCACTTACCACTCACAGAGCTGACTGATGCTCTCGTCTACGTCAGGACCTGGGAGCTACACATTAATCAGATCAAGGCCCTGTCTTTGAGTCTGATGAGAGAGATGGGCAGGGGAACATCATAATCCAGCATTGAGTACCAATTTGATGGTTTGCCAGGCATGGGGTCAGGAATCTCTGAAGAGGGAGGATCTGTGCTGAGAGGGCTTGGAACATGGAAGGGTCAGGGCACAAACTGAGTCAGGAAAGGTCAGAAAAGTCAGAAAGGGAGCCCTTCCTGTGTTTAGTCCTGCTGGAAGCCCTGCCTGGCATCTCTTCCATATGGAGCTGGCCTCTATACCCTGTTCCACCCCCCGCCCCCCATCATGAAAGGCCATAGAAGCAAACCCCTGAGCCTCAGCTGTAGTTATGATCCCTTCTCACTGGAGCTTGTTTTTAGCTGGGCTGCGAGAAAGCCAGCTGCCCCCTGCACTGCCTGCTGGGAGGCCTTGCTTCTCAAACGGCTGCTCTGAGCTGCTGCTGCAGAGGGATGGGCCCGAGCCTTAGGGAGAGGACAAGGCTGCCTCATATGTTCAGGAATCCATACAATTATTGCTCCATTGATTTAACCTGCTCACACACAGGACTTAACTATGTATGTGTGAGCCACCCTGATAGGTACTGAGATACAGTGTGATCAGGACAGATGTGGCCCTGATCTCTTGTCACCTGCAGTGTGGAGAGGGAGGGAGACTAAGCAAGTGGACTGAGTTACAGAGAGTGCTGTGAGATAATTGAACAAGGGACACGTAGAAACTTCTGGAGGAGTGGTTGGCCTTGTAGATCAGAGGAAGAGAATCAGGTGAAGCAAAAGCTCCACCACTCACTGCATAAACTTGACATCTCTGGTTGTGGTAAATGAGGAAAAACGTGAAGAGAACAGGTTCAAGAGGACTCCAGGCCGTCCAAGTCATGCTGAGGGCTGGACTCTGGTGCATGGTTTTAGCTATAGAAACAGTGTGACAGAGAGCATGGAGACAAGATCGTCAGGGGTACCAAGGAGAAGGGAACAGGCAGGCAGAAGCAGTTACAGCTGTCTAGGAGAAAGGTGATAGTGGCTTGAACTCAGATGGTAGCAGGAGAGAAAGACCAAGTGGACAGCTTCACGTCTGCTTTGGAGCTGGGCCCACAGGCTTACAGGCTCATCAAAGACCATGGATTAAAGGGAGGGAGGGGCCGTGGTGCTGAATTCCTAGGGGCCTGGAGTACCATTGACTGAGACAGGAGAACTTGGAGGGGGTGCAGTGTGGGCAGTGGGGCAGTCAGGACTCTTTGGGATGGGTTGATTTTGAGATGCTTTTAGAAATCTGTGTAGATGGTTGGGAATTTAAGTTGGGCTCAGGAGAGAGAGCTGTACTAAACATCAATTTGGGTACTTCTGTGTGTGTGTATATATATATATTTGTATGTGTGTATATATATTTGTATGTATGTATATATGTGTGTGTATTTATATATGTATGTATTTGGAACCACAAAGGAAAGAGTAGAGAAGGGAGCTCAGCCCTGTGCACTCCACCATAGATATTGGGTGCCAGCAAATACATGCGGGCAACACAAAGCAATTGAAAAGGAATGACATAGGAAAACCAGGTATGTGTTTAAAGTGAAGAAGTCAGAAAGTATTCCCTGTGTTTGACAATAAATATGTTGCTAGGTCATGAGCCATTTTAGTGAGGTGTAGAGATGGAGGTCAGTTTGGAAAGAAAGAGAAATGAGGAAGCAACAACGGGAAGTGTGGACAATACAGGTTTTCCTAGAGCCGAGTGGATGTGAGATGAAGCTCTGGTGCACTGGCCTGCGGTGGCCTCTTAGTTCCTGCAGGGCAGGGTGTCCCTGCCTCCTACACTCACTTGTACTAAGCATAGCCTAACATAGCTCCCCACAGCCACAGTGTTGAGCCAGGCACCCTGCTAAGTCCTTGACATGAGTCACAGTGTTGGAGGCAGGGGCTTTGCCTCCACTTTATAGAGGAGGAATCAGGATCTAGAAGGCAAAGTGGTTTCCTAAGGTCACATAGCTGGGAAGTGGCCACCATTTCCCAGCCAGTCCTTTTATCTGGTTGGCTTTGGAAGCTGAGCACTGAGGTTGGGCACTAGATCAATGCTGCCTTTTCCCTGGGAAGGAGATGAGCTGGAGTCCCTCTTCCCTTCTCTCTCCCAGAGGTTCCTCGGGGATTACGGCCTGCAGTGGGTGGGGGAGCCCATGGACCAGGAGGACTCAGAAGACAAGGAAATTGCAGAGGATAGTGAGAAGGACTGGATGACCACCATGAAGTTCTGGAAGCCAGGTAAAACAGGAGTTATCCCTGGACTCTCCCTAAAGAGAACGTGCCAAGTTTCCTGTTGGCCAGTGATCCTCCAGAGTCCATCTCCTTCATGACCCTGCCTTCAAGCATCAGGTGCCCTGAAATATTCCACACCTTGTCCCTGATGCAGCTCAGGAAAAGCCACAGCCTTCATCAGGGACCACCTCTCCTGCTGACCAAATTCTCCATATGGTCAAGGTTCCAGAGATACAAAAAGTAACAACAGACCTTACGAAGTCTCCGGCTTGTAGTTTATGAAATGTCACTTGCTCTTTCTAGCTGACCTTCCAGTGGATTTTCAGAGGCTGTAAATGGGAGATTGCCCATCTTTTTGAGAAGCTGGTGGATTTGAACTGATTGCTTTTGGGTTGGTAGCATAACTCCTTTACCCATTAGACCACTAAGAGCTCCCTAATTTAGTCTATGTTAGGAGGGTCAGGTCAGATGATTCGATTCTGGGCTGACTCTGTGGATTCCTCCTTCCTCACAAAAGGAGCAGCTCTCTGAAGCAACTAGAGTGGTCATCGTCCAGAACCCTAAAAGATTTTAGGGGCTTGTTCTCTCAAGGAGGAAATGTTAGGATTAGAACCAAGAAAAGAGGCAAAAGTTTATGCTTAGAAAATTAAGCCATCAAAACCAGGAAGCCAGTATTGACATGCATAGCATTGGTGCTTTGCATACATGAGTGATGTCAGAAGTAGTGCATATGTTGGGCACATGAATGACATCATAGAACAGGGACCAAGTTGAGAACCACCCACTAAACTTTGAACTCTCTGTGGCATCATCTCATTGGCCCAGACTCCAAACTGAAGGCCCACCTAGAGGAGGAGGCCATAAGGTAGGGCCTCACTGGCACAAGGCTTCCCCTCCATATTTCCTCTCAAGGAGGGAAGTCTGTCCTTTTTTGGGATATAACTTTCTAATAAATCTTTTCTGGGTTGTGGGTCATATGGAATGTTGGTTGTGTGGGATTTTTTTGTATGTATGTTTGTTTTTGTTTAAGCCTCTTGTTTAGTGTCAACAAGACCTCCTGGAGGGCCTTTGTATTTAAGGTGAGCCCCTCCTCTCCATTTTGGAGACTGGGTGATGCAGCAGGACTATTAAGATGGGTACTGTTGTTCTTGGTTGCTGGTTTTGTGGAATGTGGGGTGGGTTTTTTTTAATATATAAGCCTCTTTAGTGTCAACAAATTGTACAGCACTCTTCTGTCAGTTTGCTGAACTGAGGGAATTTGAACCTTGTACCATAGGGGTGTCAAATGCCATAACAGTTGCCCATGATGGATAGTGTTTGGTGGAGCTCCCAGTTTAAGACAAGTTTGGAAGCAGTAGTGGCAACCAATTCCTAAACCACAAGTCTCTAGAAGCTCTATGAACTTGGAGAAATGATGATACAGAAAGGCTTCAGGTCTTTTGTTCATAGGGTCGCTAAGAGTCGCGCTCAACTCAAACAGCAATTAACAACAACAACAACAATTTCACCCTTTAAAAGAAAACCACACACACACACACACACACACACACACACACACACACACACACACACGAGCATCCCTCTTCTGCTCTCTTCAGGTTAATTATACTTCTAGTGGAACTGGCTTTGAAGTTGCATGCTTCAGATGACCTCCCTCAATTCATAGAATCCCAGGGTATGAGCTCCATAGGAAGGAGGTCTGGTGATGTAGTGGTTAAGCACTAAGCTGCTAAACTGAAGGTGAGAGGTTCGAACCCAGCAGCCACTCCAAGAAAGAAAGATGTGGCGATCTACTTCTTTAGACATGACAGCCCTGGGAACACTATGGACAGTTCTGCTCTGTTCTGTTGGGCTGTTAGGAGTCAGGATCAATTTGACAACAGATGTATCTATATGGCTAACGTAACTATGAAAGCTTCTCTGCCAATCCCCCGGGTCCCTCTAGCTCCATGTCCCTCTGTCCGTCTCTTCATTCTTTTACTTTTTATTTCTTCAGCGTGGGAGGGGGCTATGCCACATGTTGTGTTGGTAGGTGCTGTCAAGTCAACTAGGATTCACAGTGACCAACAGATTGGAACCTCACCCTCCCTGCACCATGATACTCTCTGCTTTGCACACACCCACTGTTGTCACTGTCAGTCCATCTTGTTGAAAGTCTTCCTCTGCCTTTCCCAGCAGGATGTCTTTATTCCAAGGTCTGGTCTCTCCCAACAACATGCCAAAATTATGTGAGATGAAAGTTTCACCATCTTTGTCTCTAAGGAGCACTCTGGTTGTTGTTCCTCCAAGATAGATTCATTTGTTCTTTTGGCAGCCCATGGGATACTCTGTACTCTTTGCCAGCACCACAGTTGAAGGAGTTTTCATTTCTAGCAGCTTTTCCTCCTGCACTCCCTATCTCCTGGCTTACCCTCTTCTCTCTGTTCAGCTCCCTCTCGGATCTCTTCAATACCTCCTCCCTCTCTGAGCTCCTCCATCCTTCCTCTCTGCTCCCTTCTGAGCTTTTCTCCCCCTGCTTCCTGCTCCCTCTCTGCGACCTTCTCTCCCACCTCCCTGCTCCCAGAGCTCCTCTCCCCCTCCTCTCTGCTGCCTTCTGAGCTCCTCTCCCCCTCCTCCCTCTCTGAGGCCCACTATCCCTCCTTCCTGCTCCCTCCTGAGCTCCTCTTCCCCTCTTTTCCCCCTGCTCCCTCTCTGAGGCCCTCTATCCCTCCTCTCTCCTGAGCTCCCCCTTCTCTCTCCCTGCTCCCTATCTGAGGCCCTCTATCCCTACTTCCTCCTGAGCTCCTCTCCCCCTCCCTGCTTCCTCTCTGAACTCCTTTATCCCTCCTCCCTGCTCTGCTCCTTCTCTGATCTCTTCTGCCCTCCTCTCCCATCTCCTCTTGGATCACCTCTTCTCCCCATCAAGTCCCTGGCCTTCCTTTGTGTCCTATCTCTCCCTGTCAGCCTCCCTACCCCCCACCATCCTTCCTCTCAAGTCCCAAGCTCCTGCGTGTGGGTTTGACATGGCTGTCATAGGAATGGGCCCTGGATTTACTCTTTAGCCCCTCACTGGCCTGGCTCAGACTCTTAGCAGTTTGCAGTGCATCTCATCCACTACCCATGGTGCCTCCTCTCTGCTCCCTTCATTTGAAGCTTAGCTCAAAATTGGCTCAAAAACCTTCCTCCCATATACCCCTTAGTTCAGGGCTGCTTTATAGGGGAGGAGTTAACTGGTCAGGCTGAGGACCTTGTATGGCCCAACTGTTAACTGCTCTGAGACCCTTCCCTCATCTGTGCAATGTCTGGGCCACTGTGAGGCTGGAATGAGAGAGTGCCATTGAGTGCTTTGCCACATGGTAAATAAGCATGGTAAATACACACACATGGAATTGGTGGCTGGGTGGCCTCGTGTTCGGGAGGCAGGCCTGGGCAGTCAGCATGCTGGGGGGACATCAGTGTGCCCTCCTCAGAGAGCACTTTCCATGAGTTGGGGCACACTGAGCTCAACTCCTGCCTCCTCCCCACATATACTGGTTGTCCGCCAGCCACTTAGAACCTGTATTTCTTCCACTGGCTCCTCTGAGGGAGAGAATGAACACTGGCAAAGTCCCCTGGGCAGGCCCCAGCTCACAGGTGTGAGATAGTCTTGGTTCTATTTCCTGTTGCCACAGTCTTTGCATGAAGCATTGAAGACGGTGGGGAGGAGGGGATGGAACATGGAGGGCAGTGGTACTGGGAGGCAAGCACACCTTGGTTGCTTCTCAGCAGTGGGTGGTCCTCCCACGGGACCCACAGGGAACCAGCCTTGGGTGAGCCGGTTCTCCCCTGCTGACTGCCGCAGGGTGTGGCCCTCCTCTGCCTGTCTGCAGGCCCCACAGTGGCACTAACCACATGCTGCTGTCTCTGTTGGCTGCTCGAGCTCCTTCACTGAGTCTGAGCCTGAAGAGGATGAGGCCGTGGGTGTGTCCCTGGGTGTAGAGCCAACAGAATTCACGGAGTCAGTTGACAGAGCATAAGGAAGGGCCAACTGACAGCATAAGGAAGTGCAATCATGGTGCTCCTTGGAGGCAAGGATTGTGAAATTTAATTTCACATACTTTGTGCATGTTGTCAGAAGGGGCCAGTCCTAGGAAAAAGACATTATGCTGAGAAAAGTAGACGGTCAGAGAAAGAAAGAGACCCTTAAAGAAATGGGCTGACATGGTAACAGTGCCCATGGGCTCGAGCATGGTGGAGACTGTCAGGCTGCCTCTGGAGAGGGCAAGGTTTCCATCTCTTCGTAAGGTTGAGTTACAGTCACCTTGATGGCACCCAACAACAATGACTGATGACAGAGAATAAGGAACCCTGGTGGTTCAGTGTTTAAGTGCTTGGCTGCTAATTGAAATGTTGGCAGTTCAAATTCATCAGTGGCTCTGTGGGAATGAGGACCTGACAACCCGGCTCTTGTAAATATTACAGCCTTGGAGGAGGAGGAGGAGGAGGAGGAGCCCATCACGCTTGAAAAGGTAGAAGGTCAACCCATGAGAAGGCTCTGAATGAGGTGGATTGACACAGTGACTGGCAGTGGGGTCAGGCATGTCAGATGCCAGGGTTGCCCCAAGGCTTCAGAACCGTTGTTCACAGGGTTGTCATGAGTCATAGCTGATGGCACATAACAACAACAGGAGACTCTGAGGCAGTTATGCTCAGTCCTTCAGGGTCACTGGCCTAGTTATATAGTGCTGCTCTAACAAGTGCCACAAAAGGATGGCTTTAACAGAAATGAATTACAGTTTAGGAAGTAGGGAGGGTAAATCCAGGGTGCTAGCTCTGGGCGATGGCCCTGCCATTCGTGAGGAAAGTTCTTGTTCCTTCAGCATCTGTAGGCCCAGTATTCCCTGGAGATTTCCATGTGAACCTGCCATCAAGGAGTTCAGTCTTGCAGGGTCCAAAAAGGTGCACTCCACTTCTGGCTGTTACTTCTGGGTGGCACTGAGGCTCCAGGCGCTCAACTCTCTTTCCTCCACTTTTATCTCTAATGAGTAAAAGGTATTACTGGCCACCCCCTGGGAAACTCCCCTTATTTTTATTTAGGTTTGTGATGGCATTAGAGAGTATTGCTATTCCATCTTTCCTACAACTATCTGGTTTAGCAGATCGTGGGGGGAATCAGTACATCACTTCTGTATTAAATAACTATACATATACACTTTTGGGGGGCACAGTTTATCCCATGATAGTCACTGTAGGTCACTCTAAGAAATCCACTTAGGGGTTCCCCACCGTCACTGCAGCAAGCAGAGCTGGGCGCTCCTGGTGTGTTTGTTGAAAGGGTGGATGGATCCGGCACACACTTCCTGAGCACGCTCTGTATAGTGGATTGAAGAGACAAACAAGGGAATAGAAAGAAACAGTTGAGAATAGAATAGAGCCGAGGTGTAGTGGGCCCAGGGCCCCACGTTTAGGGAACTCCCGGGAGGGTTTCTTGGAAGAGGTGGGGGTGAGTGAGAGCATGCCCAGTGATAAGCAGGAGGGTGGGGTTTAAGTGATAACAACCAGCATCTGCCAGGCACTTCTGCTGAACCTCCATGACCCTGTGAAGTGGTGACTGTTATTGTCCTTGTTTCACAGCAAAAGGAGGCCCAGAGAGGTCAGCCCACTTGCCGCTGGCCCCACAGCTGGGCCATGGCCGAGCCTGAGGAGGAGGCAGGTTTTATGACGCCCTTATTATGAGGATTTCCTAGGATGTTATTAGGGAACTCAAAGGGAAGCCCCTGCTGAGGGGCAGCAGGCTCTCAGGACTTTAGGGGTTGACCAAAGAACCCAGATGTGATCTCCACAGCTCCCTGCTCCCCACATTGTATAAAAGCATGAGCTTGGAGGTGGCCGAGGTCTCAGATGATGCCCCAGCATGGCTCCCTTCCCTGGAAAGAACGCCCTGCAAACTGTGGCCCAAGTTGACATGGTCACTGAGACCAGATAGGGAGTCAGCTGTGCCTGTGGTCATTTGCCTTACCATGTCCTCATCTGTAAGATGGGGACAGTAGTAGCTGCCTCGGGGGTAGTTGGCACGGAGGACACACTCCCTGAATCATTTACAGACATGTTCACCGGCTGAGTCTTGTGGGCAGGACTGGAGTGCCTAACATTGACCTGTTCCACAGAGAAGAAATGTCTCATCATCTGGTCCTGCTGCTATGTCAGGACTTGTCATCTTAAGGGACCTTCTCCCTGTCAGCACAGTATCAGGCCTCTGTGACTACCTGTGGGGTGGGAAGTCACTGGCTTTATCGGGCCCTGCCATGTGGCAGCACCAGGCTCACCATGCCTTTTTTTCTCCTGTCAGGCCTCGTGTACCCTGAGTTGTGGTCTGTCCTCCTGGACCCCTGGTATCACTTCCAGGCCTTTGGATCCTGTACTTGCTCAGCCCACCCTGCTTTCACTTCTTCTGAGCCCTAACCCAACTGGAGAACTGCAAGCTTCTGTTTTCCCTCTCGATTCCATGTTAGCATTACCCCCTGGGCTTCCTCTTGGCATTGTCCATGCCAACCACAAAGAGTGTTGGGCCCAAGAGGCAGCTTGGTGTATAAGGAGGAGCTCTGGGCCAGGAGTCAGAGCGGTCTTACAGGTATTTGCCCTTTGGTGATTGACTTCTCATACTCAATATAATTTCCTTTAGATTCATCCACGTTACACAGTGTTGCATGAATTCTTTATCATTCTGTGTTGTTCTGTGCCAGAGAGTATAGAACCAACTCATGGTTGACCCAGTAGTGGGTTTTCAGAGGCAGTAAATCCATGGGAGGAGATTGCCCATCTTTCTCCCTTGCAGTAGTTGGTGGATTCGAACCACCTGCTTTTGGGTTAGCCATTCAATAGTTTCTTTTAACATTTGTCCATTAATTGGATTGTTTCCATCTCTTTGCTATTATAACTAATTATGCAATAAACATGGATGTGCATCTGTCAGTTCGTGTGTCTTATTTCTTTGAGGTACATACCCAAATGGTGTTTCCATTTTCAACCTTTTAACAAAGCACTGAATTGCTTTCCATAGTGGTTGCATCATTTCACATTCCCACCGGTAGTGTAAGAATCAGTTTCTCTGCATGCTCACCGGCATTTCTTGGTCACTGTCCTACTGAACTTTGTTATTGTTGCTGAGGTAACATGATGTCTTACTGTTGTTCTGGTTTGCATCTCTCTAATAATTAATGATCTTGAGCATTTCCTCACATGTTTGTTGGCCATCTAAAAGTCTTCTTTGGTGAAATATCCCTTCCGTCATACCCTCTGCTCGTTTTGTTGAGTTGTCTTGTTTTCTTGTTGAGGTGTTGGACTTTTCTATATATTACTGAATCCAGACAGAGCAGAGACATACATGCAGAATGATCTGAATGGGTTTTCCTATAAGCCTCTCTGAGATCTCAGGGACTCCAGGGAGGTGGTGGGGAGGCAGGTGCAGCCCCTACAATAGTAGGTGGTTTGGGGAGAGGGGAAGGCCAGCTGGGGTTTACCGTTTCAGCTCCAGCAAGGCAACAGGAAGCACGGCCACCCACATCCGTATTTACCCAGCACAGCCGCTGCACCTCTGTGGGAAAAGGAATTGGGTCCCCAGGGTCTTGACCCACATCCTGCCGCAGCTTGGCTGTCCTGCTGAAAAATAGACTCCAAGAAAGCCCAGGAAGTCATTGGGTGTTGTGCATTGTATCTGGTTACATCATGGGGGATGGCTTGCTTACTTAAGAGACCAGGTCACGGCAGGACTCAGGGCCCAGCTGGCATCCCACCTGCCTGCTACCTTTGCTGCTCTGGTACCTGCCATGGCTTGTCCCCACCACTCCATCGCCACCCCCCTAGAGCTTTTCATTTTTCAGAAGAGGTGGCCAAAGCTTCTGTCCGCTTCTCCCAGGTCTGTGAGCCAGAAACCGTTTGCACATCCCAAGGTCTATCCTCTCTCTCTCTCTCTGCCCAGCAGCTGTCCTTCCATTCCACATCTGTCCAACCTCCAACCCTTCTCTCTTGATAGTGTGGTGGTTGGAAAATTACTCTAAAGTCAGCCCTTACTCAAATCCCAGCCCCACTCTAACTTGCTAAGTGGCCTGGGGCAAGCAATTCTTCACCTGGGTCTTTTTCCTGTACAATGGAGATAAATTATCAGCTGCTTAATAGCCTCATTTGTGCGGAAAGGCAGAGTTGGTACCAGTAACTAGCACTGGTAGATTTGCTTTTGGTGAGGAGGCTCTTACCTGGTCATCACGGCCCCTCAGAGTCATCCTAGGCAGTGCAGATCTTTGAATGATTTGACGAAAGAAACCAGAGACTGTACAGCCAGAAATGGAGGCACTGGGATTTGAACCCAGACTTCTGTGACTCTGAGTTTGAGCTCTGTCCTGTGCCTTTCAGCTGCTACGCCTGACGTAGACAGACTTGGGACCAAATACTGCTTGTACTACTTGCTATTGTGTCTCTAGGTGAGTCATTTTACCTGGTCTCCTGAGCCTCATCAGGAAGAGTAGGGAAGACTAAGCCCCTGAAGCGTAGGGTTGGTATGGAGTGAATGAGATAATGGATCTTAAACCCTGAGTACATACTAACAAGCAATAAAAGAGAATGTTCGTTGCCCTTCCTCTTCCTTAGGTACATTTACTTAGGGAGGTGCTACTCCCCAGCAAAGGGAGCTCTGATGGCTTAGTGGTAAGGAAGGTATGTGGTCTGAATCCACGAGCTGCTCCGCAGGACAAAAATGGGCAACAACTTCCATGTGTTTTCTATCTCTGCAGACCCGCTGGAGGGTCAGCTATGGGTCAGTTCCAGCTCAGTGGCACTCAATAACTGCCCAGCATAGGGAGGGAAGCTACAGGAACCATCAAGAGAGGCTCAGGGATGTCCACCCTCTTTGGCAGGAGATTCAGTGGTGCCTCCAGAGGTGGACTTTGACAGGCTGCTAGCCAGTCTGAAGGACCTCAGTGAGCTGGTGGTAGAAGGTGAGGCCCAGGTGACACCAGTACCTGGTGGGGCCAAGCTCCATGACCTGGAACCCATCCCCCTGAAGCTCTACCGGAATGGGATTATCATGTTTGATGGGCCCTTCCAGCCCTTCCACGAACCCTCCACACAGGTAGGAGCAGGGCACTGGTCACGCTGGTGCTTTGGCCCAGAGCACATGGTGGGGTCCAGCTCACCCCAGCACCTAATGCTGCTGGTGCTACTTGCATGACTTGCAGACCACGCCCCCATTCAAATCCAGGGGCCCTGAGTATTTCCAGTGATACCATGGGTTAGCCCAAGCCCTAGGGACATGTCGTGCAGGGTGGGAGCAGGCTGGGGTCACTCCACATGTCCAGCTAGACCTCACCCTTCCTCTACCCACTGCAGCGCTGCCTCCGAGACATCTTGGATGGCTTCTTCCCCTCTGAGCTTCAGCGACTGTACCCTGGTGGAGTCCCCTTCAAGGTGATGAGCTGTAACAGATCTATGTGAAAAATTTGGAGAAGGTGGGGATAAAACAGCACCCTCTTGGGGTGGTGAGACACTTCAGCGCCCTCCAGGGACTCTAGAACTGATGACCTGGAGGAAGGTGAGTCTGAAGAAAGCTAGGTTGGGGAGAAAGCAGGAGGCTGCTATGATACAGTTGCTGCCTCAATGGACTTGGTTGAGGCTGGGAGCAGACGGCGCCCTCTGCTGGCACTCTGAAGGCACAGCCCTGGCAGGGCAGGACTGTGGCCCTTTTCCCCACCCCTCTGTCACTCTGACAAGTCTGGGGTTCCTGAGGAATCTATTCCAAAGCAGCCCAGCGTTTTCCTAAGAGGTATCTGAAGCCATCAGGCGGAGGAGGGGGGAAACAGGACAGTTCCTTAGTTACAAATAAAAACAGTAGCGGGCTGAAGGGGGACTGGACCCTGTGGGGGTGTGAGCTGGGGCTGCCCTTTGGAAGCATGTGAGGCAGTATGCTTCAGCGGTGGGTGAGTTCCACAATGAGGCATGTGCCTCCACAGCTGGGAAAATAGTGTGAGTCATGAGTGGGGGTGTTCACTGAAAGCAGTTTGTGCTAAAATAGGGGCCTAAGATGTGGGCCTTGATGAGGGCAAGTGAGGTAATACATGTGATGATGGGGTCGACCCTGCAGACCACTTTGTGGAGGATTCCGCCCATAATCCCTTCCTCCCTCACGGTCTGTCAGTGCTGTGGCTTCAGCTGGCATGGACTGGGGTGCTTATGGGGAAAGCAGGGCCCAGATGGGTGACAGCAGCATGGCTGTGGGTTCCCCACAGGTTGTCCCCCAGGTCCTCAGTTTCTCCGTCTGTAGAATGGGAGCTGTATTATGTACCTTAGACTACTCCTTGGTCCTGTTCTCAGATTGTGTCTGAGGCCTCTGAGTGACAAGCAGGAGAGGGTTAGCGCCCAGGGCTGAGAAGCCGGGCCCACCTGGCTTCCTTCTTCCTTGCTAGGTGAGCGACCTTCGCAATCAGTTCTACCCGGAGGATGGGCTGGACCTGTTCCCAGGCGAGGGCCGAGTGGTGGGCTGGCAGAGGATACGCAAGACCTCGGGCAGGCTGGATAACTCCGGTGAGCTCAGCCCTGAGCGTGGTGGCTGGGGTGCTGGTGACTCCTCCATTATGCCTCACAGTCCCTCCCTTGGCCAAGGCTCTTGATGCCCTTCTCCCAGGCTCCAGGATGACGGCTGAGAAGTTCCTGAACAGGCTCCCCAAGGTTGTGATCCGACAAGGCCAGGTGGTTGACATCCGGGGTCCCATCCGGGACGCCTTACAGGTGAGACCACCTTAGTTCCCCCAGCCTTCCTGGGGTTATGCACCATCAACTCTGGCCAGGTCTCCCAAAATAGTGGCTTGTCTAGAGCTCAGCTTTGGGGCCTCCAGTGAAGGCCTGGACTGCTCCCTGAAACCTGAAGAGCTGGCCAGAGCTCTAAGCTGAACCCCAGCTGTGAGTTATAGAGAATGGAGAAGGATTGGTGGGAAGAGAGGGAAAGTAGGGATCCAGACCATGGGTTAAGTCCAGGGTCCAGGCTGCTCCCTCCTGATTCAGACCAAAATAGTAAATTCGATCCTGGGTTAACTCTTCCTCATTGCCCTCCAGACCCCTCAGATTCACCTGGCCTGGCCTTCACAGAGTGCATTATCTCCCCATATTCCTCATTCCACTTATGAAAAGCACCAAGCTCATTTTCCAGTATTTCTCTGCCCACTTCACCCTACCACTGCCAAGTCCTATCTGGTCTGTCAATTCCAGAATATCTCCCAAGTCCATTCCATCTCTCTGTTCCCAATGCACCACCAACTTAACATAGGCTTTAGTATCAGCAACTTAATGGCTTTCCTGCCCCAACCAGCCCTCTTCTAGCAGCCTCTATGTGTTTCTGAAAATGTAAACTGGATCCTTCCTCCATTGGTTTTTGGGAGGATCCTTATCCCAACCCTTGAAGCCCCTCCCTATATTTTCCTTCTTCCTGCCCAACCTGATTCCCAGTTTCCACCGTATGACAGGCTGATAGTTATTTTCTCTACTACATCACCTCTTCTAGGAAGCCTTTAAAGGAGATCTAGTAACAAAGCTAAGCACTCAGCTGCTAACAGAAAGGTTGGCAGTTTGAATTCGCCAGCTCCTCCTCAGGAGAAAGAGGAGGCAATCTTCTGTGAAGATAAAGCCTTGGAAAGCTTATTATAAGTTCTACTCTGTTCTTTAGGGATGTTCTAAGTCAGAATCGACTTGATGGCAATGGGCTTGGTTTAGGAGTGCAAGCTCTTTGCCTGTGCTGTTTAGAAAACCCCTGCTTCTCCCCTCCAACTCCTTATGCTTCAGGATACACCCTAGATGGTATATCCCCAGGAAAAGTACCCCATCTAGCTATGGTCTGAGTAGGCTCTATCTCCTCCACTAGCCTGAGGGAGCATACAAATTCTTGGGGAATCATGAGACCACCTCCCAGACTCTCTTTTCACTTCCTGTCCTTGGGCCCCAGTTTTTGCCACTGGTCTGATCCATCTCTGACCAATGATGACTCCCCTTCTATGGTGACTTGGCCCAGGGCTGTGTCCACCTCTACCTTTGCCTTCCAGAACTGCTGTCCGTTGCCAGTCCGGATTAAGGAGATCATGGTGGAGACACCTGCTTTGGCTGCAGAGCGTCAGAGGTGAGGGCTAAGCTGAGAGGTGAGGACCAGGGCTTAGGCTGTCGAAAGTGCTGATGGCTCTGGGTCCGCAGGAGCCAGCAGTCACCTGAGATACCAGTGCCTCCATTTGCCATGCTGCGCATCAAGTCTGAGAACTGTGAGCAAGCATTCCTGCTTATGATGTGGCCCAGTGACACTGTGGGTGATGTGCGCTCCCTGCTAGCCAAGGCCAGGTAGGCACCAGGCAGGGACATGGGCCACAGAAGGGTCCCTGTCCCACCTGACCTGTCCTGTCTGGTCCCTAGGGCTGTGGACCCCTCTACCTTCGAGATCTTCAGCACATTCCCACCTACGGTCTACAGTGACGACACCCTCACACTGCAGGCTGCAGGCTTGGTGCCCAATGCAACATTGCTGCTGCGGGCACCTCGGGCCCCACCCCATTCCAAGGCCTACCCCAGCGTCATTTCTGACCCCACACCTAGCCTGGAATAAAGCCTCTGCCACCAGCTGCTCTGCCAGGCTCTCAGGGCCGACTAGCTGGGCTCCAGGGAGGGCGGGAGTCCAGGGGCCCAGGAGGACTGGGCGGTGCAGGCCCTCCCCTCAGAAACCTGAGCCCCAGCTGGCCAGCAGGTCCCCATGTTTGTCCTCCAGGTTCCTCTTTGGCCCATGAGAGCTAGGCGGACCTAGTTTAGGGAGGGACAAGCCTAGGTGGGTTTCTAGTCCCTCACCTTCAGCTCTACACAAGGTCAGAGGACCCTCACATGTACTAGAGTGCTGACAGCGGACACCTGAGCAAACATGCCTGCAGACCCACAAGCCTATGGGACATTTCAATAGCATACACAACATGTAGGCCACTACATTCATGCAATGAACTGGCAGCACTGCAGCTGTGCCCACTCTCATGACATACCCACTCTGTCAGCCTGCTGGCACACAGGCAGGCAGCCACCGCACTGGGACGACCACATGTGTAGGCATAAGAACATGGACACCACAGGGGCACCAGGAACACCATCATTGTACGTGAGGGCACCCACCCAGTCCCTGGGAACTGCTGGTACACACACAAGCCCAAATCTGTGCACCATCATGCACAGAGGTGATCGACACCTGGGGACACTCGGCAGTCACACCTCCCAGTCTTAGGTAGGACAGGGGGCCCAGAGTGGTTAAACCACAACAAGACAGACACAGCACCAATGAAATGGAACATTTAATTGTCTCTGGGTGTTCCCAGGACTGGGACTGCGGGGCCTTTGGCAGGGCTCTTGCTGATGACACCACAAAGGTGTCTGTCAGCCAGTGCCAGGCAGGATGGCAGCCTCAGGGTCTGGCCAGGATAGCCAGTACTGGGGCTTTTGCTTAAGACTAGTGGGTAAGGAATGTTGCCTTTGAATGGAAGAGAGAGGGCTACTATTAGGGGAGAAAGGGTAGCAGTTGGGAAGAAAAGGGTTCTAAGGTCAGACGGTGAGGAATGAAAGGAAACTGGTCACAGGGTCCTTCATGGCCGGGTGAGGGCTGGGGTAATGTGGTGATGGAGTCCAGCGGGAAAACCATGGTGGGCTTGGCTCAGGCCAACTTCAGGAACTCCTGCAGTGTGTTTTGTTCCACGGCCTCCACGAACAGCTCATAGTCCTGGGGGACAGGCGGGAGGAGGGGTCACCTGAGTGGCCGCACAGGAGGCCCACTAGTGCTTTTGTCTCCGATCTGACCCCAGGTGGCGTCTTCCACAGCGATCCCCCCCAGCCTCTAGCCCCTGGGCCATACCCCACAGTACTGGTCCCCGTTGACAATCTGGGGCGGGGTGGCCTTGGGGTTGCCCGCCAAGGCTCGCATCTCGTCTCGTAGGGCGTTGTCCTGGGAGATGTCCACTAGCTGGTACTGGATACGCTTCCCATCCAGGATGCGAGTCACCTCACTCTGCTGGGATTTGATCTAGGGGCAGAGGGTCCGCAGGGGTCAGTGGGCAGGCTGGGAGAAGCCTGGGTTATGTGAAGGAACTAGCTATGTTTCCGTTGGGAGGGTGAGTGTTGCTTGAGGTGGTGCAGGAGGAAGAGTAAGACCACAGTGGGAGGGGCTGAACGAAGGCAAGTGCCTTAAGGTTCAGGGTGGGAAGAGCCAGGGCAAGGCTGGTCTGGCTGGAGATGTGAGAAGGAACCGCTGCAGGCTCACCCCATACACGGTGGTGGCGAAGGCCGGGTAGGGATGTGGCAGAAGGCTTGGGAACAGGGGGGCGCTACGAATGGCTGTAGGGGCAGAGGGGGATGGGCGCGGGCAGGCGGACACAAGGGCCAACAGGGGGACTCTCGGAGGCCTCGCCCCCCGCGTCTAAACCTCGCGGGCCAAACCGAGGCCTCCGCTGGCCCCCTGCCCCGCCCCCGTCTTTGAGGGCGGGTCCCGGGTGCCCAGGCGGGGATGCGGCCTCCGCCCTCTCCCCTGTGCCAAGGCACCCGCGTAGGCGCACACTTACTTCGCGGGAACCGGTGACTGATGTGCTGTAGACGCGCAGGCCACTCATCCTGCGTTCGTACCGAGGACCAACGGAAGGACGGACTGAGGGCGGCGGCAGCACGGAGCACAGCCGGGAGACGACACGGCCGCGCTCGGGAGCGGTTTCCTTCCTGCTCAGCCCGCGAGTCACCGCTCTCGGGACCAATGGGCGGCGCGGCTGGCGTGCGGCGGGGGCGGGGCCTGCGCGGCACCGCCCCGAGTGCCGGCCCCTCCCCCGCGGGCCGAGATCCCACGCAGGCCGCTCCTTTTGTGGCCGCCTGTGGCCATCCCCCGTCCCGGGATCTGCAGCGTGGGGCTGTGGGGGCAATCAGTGGCAGGGAAGGCCGAGGAGGGCAACGAACTTGGAAAGGCCAGAGCCCCAGTCATGTTGGTTTGGGTGCACCTACCCACCCCGCCGGGCACCCCATTAACTGACCCAAGGAGCCGCCATCCCGCTGCTCAGCTTGGGCCATTTTCCTAACTCAGAGTTCCCAAGCTAAAGAAGGTCCCACCTCGGCCCTTTACTTTCCCCCAGGAGTTATCTGACCCCTCGCCCTGTGGAAGGGGAGACCTAGCAGCACAGGGACAGCCACCGCTGGGAGATTCCTTTTAAAACTCCCACCCAAGCGGGTTCAGACAGAAAGGGTAGTGGCCACATGCTCAAAGGGCTAGAGGGGAAACCAAGGTAAGGGGCTGAGGCTCTGAAATGGAAGGAGGCAAAAGTCAGTCAGAGCCTGGCCTTCTTTAAATAAGATCCACAACCAGGCAGAAATGCAAAAGGTTCAGAGGAGCCTGCCAGCCTGGCTGTGGAGACTTAATCTGTATGGGGCTGGACACCAGGATTCCCATTCAGGATTTCCCCAGGTCCAGTGACCTACTGATGACTAACAGGTAATAGCGCAGCAAGACCACTTCCCTGAGTCAATTGATGACCAGTCTTGCTCTGGGGGAACTGCTTCATCAGCAACCGAAAAGGAGCTAGACTTCCTCTCTGGGAGAGCTGTTGAAACTCTTTCCTAGGGCTAACTTGCTCTATGACTCAGGGCAGCTTTGCCCAACAGAAGGGGTGTGGGTAGAGATCTTATCTGCCCCACAGAACAAGGGAGCAGAACTAAGTGGGACAGATACTGTTTGAGACTAGATCTGCCTGAGGGCCCTCCCTGCACAGTATGGGGTACTGTGGTAAATACCCAGCCCTTGGCTTCAACAAGCAAAAATGGGGGTAAGGTAGGGGGCATGACAGTGATGGATAGCTATGGGAAACTGAGGAGTTTGTTAAATATTTTATTTTGTAATCAAAATAGGCAGTACAAACCAGTTGACATACAAAGATTCATATAAATAACTGCTTATAAACTTTACAAGAAAAAAAAAAAATACCCGTGAGCAAGGGGCTGGGCTCCCAACACAGGGTGGAGATCAACCAGGTGGCTCTGCTTTCCAGAGGCAAGAGCCCAGATGCTGAGGGAATGGCCTGCTGGGGTTGCTCTGAATAGAAGGGATAAGTCACTCTACAAATAAAGTACAACTTGTAAAAACACTTAGGTGAAACTTCATTCAACTGAGGAGTGAAGTCCACAATACTGCTCTAACAGCCTAAATCTCAGCGAGAATCTTGTGGCTAACTTAGGCCTCCTGAATAGTTTAGTGCTTCCCCATACCCATGGCTTCTGCTTGGCTTAGCTTCAGATCTAGAGTCCTGCAGCAGTCCAAACAGCCAGGTACAACTGTGAGATGCCTCTGCCTAAACCAAGGCAGGAGAAAGCAGAGGATCTAAAGGCCACAGGGAAATGCAAAACAAAATACTGAAAGCTTAACTTAAAGCCAACCTATACTAGGTACTCTGAACTCTCAAGGAATCAGAGTCAAGAAGATGAAAGACCTCCCCACAAAAATGAACAGCAAATATCAGGGGCTTGGGATCCAGCTTCAGCAAATAGTGAACAGCTTGACTAGTGCCTTTTGGCATTCTTGGGGAAAAATCCTATCTAAATCTTCAACCACAGAGGAAAAGAGTTGCCAGGAGGGATGAAAACAGGAGAAGACAGCTGTCTTCATCACACAGCTCAGGCCCCAGGGGCAAAGGGCAGCTAGAGAGCAGGGTCTCCAGGAAAATGGCCTAGTAAACAGATTAAGGAGCCTGGGCTGCAATCTCTAGGTTTCTAGTCCTACTGGGTACTTTGCCAATGAGGCTTCTGGGAGAACAAGAGCCCTGAGGAAGAAGCAGTGGTGGGACTGAGCCTGAAAAACCCAGAAAGCTAGCTTAGCTCCCAGGAAGGCTGGCACATGAGGTATGAGAATTCTCAAAACAGTCACTGCCTGTGGTATTCAGCACTTCCAGCCTAAAGCCTGCTGCAGGGAATCAGTAAGACCAAAGTACGGAGTGAGAATGAACATGGATCATTTTAAAGGATGGAGAAGGGAGGCAAGAAATTATGTGCTTCTGACTTCAGCCTGGAACTAGGAGCAGTGTTCTTAGAACATATTCATTGTGCCTGCAAAAGTTAATGAGTAACTCACCCTTCAGGGGTGATCAAAATGAGGACAAACTTAATTCAACAGTAAACCAACAAGGCACAAAACCCATGTAGGGTAAGGCAGACACAGTTCTCTCATAAGCCCAGAGCCCCCAGATGCAGACCCTTGCTACTACTCCTTCTCTAGGAATAGCAGCAGATGGTAGGCAACAGATTGTCAAGACAGGAACCTGCTTGACTAGGCTCTTGACATCCCAGATCCTCCCTGAAGGGAAAAGGGCCTGTCACCCACCCCTAGCATTCCTCATTGTGTGACACAGTTTTCTCCCATGTCCTGGGCATATCTGTCTGACATGGTGGTCCTTAAGTCTTCAATGTCGCAGCGGAGCTGCTGAACCTCCTCTAGTTTCTTTCTGATCACATCCGGCTTCTGCAAGTCTAGCTGAGTCTCTGGGTGGTGCTGTGTAGCTGGAGAGGAAAAGTGTTTCACAAATATTAGTAAGTCAGAAGCTTTCATGTGGAGGGAGCAGTGTGACAGACAGCACCTTAAGGCCCACTTATCTTGGACATGGCATTTTTAAAAAATGCAGCTGGGAACAATGGGCTGATGACCTGATGCTTAAGGCACCTGGACGCCATATACCCTAGAAAAATACTGTTTTTCAAAATAGATCTACTGAACACCTACTTTGTGAAACACATTCACAGCCCTATTCACATACTGCCCCAGAACGGAAATGAAAATGGGAGGTGAGAAGATAAACATGTATCTCTATAGGGCCAAAGACTGGCTTAAGGACTCACAGTGAATGCCTAGGAGCAGAGAGAGATTGGGGTCGTGGCCTTGAGCCCTCTGGGTCACAATGCTGCAGACAGCCTGTAGCTCTTGAAGGCAACTCGCTAATTCCTGGTGAAGTTCAAGTGCCAGCTGGGCTGTGTCTGGTGAAGGTGGGGCCACTGGCTGGGCCTGACGGAGGTACTCCTGGAGTGTTAGATTCTTCTCAATCAGGTCTTGGTTTTGCACTGAAAGCTGAGCACACAGATGGGTAAGCTACATTAATCTAGGCCCAGCGAGAGGCAGAATATACATCCTTGCATGTGGGGAGAAGGCCATGAGTCATAGGCTATTTTCCCTTCCCCTCCTCCAACAAATGGGGTCCCTTACCCCAATATCACGGGAATTGCTGACCTAGTGGTAAGGAGCTGTGCTCCCAGTCCAAAGGAATATATACTGCTTAAATCCACCAGCTCCTCTGCATGAGGAAGATGGCATTCAACTCCCAAGAGATTTACTATCTCTCAAAACCCGCTGGTTTCAACTTGAACAAACATAACAATCACCCCAATATTGGGTGGGATTCTTCCTTCAGATAGGGTTGGGTCTTCTGGATTCTAGCACTGGAGAGGAAGCTGCTACTGAGAAGGCTCTGAGTCATCAGGCTCTAGGTTTCTGTTCAGGAACTAGAGCCCTCCCCACCCCTAGGAACTTTATCTGAAACCAGTCCTTCAGCCAACTCTGTTAGCCAGGTGATTAGAGAAGGCTTAATGTTAACTGTGAAATCTAAGGAGACACTGGTTTCAATCTCTCCCTGCCACCCTGATAAAAGTGGCCACCAGCCAGCCAGATCACTGTGTATTGGAGGAATAAAAGGGGGCGTGGAAGACAATAAAATAGCTAACCAGCGGCCACTTGTAAAGAGGCTGGAGATGTTAGAAAACAGAGGATGCAACAAGTCTTGCCTTTTTGAACTCTCAGTGGCATTAGGCTTTACAGGGCAGACAAACAAACCTACCTTCCTTCTCAATTCACCTTTATTCTGCTTTAAATAGGGCCTGAATAGTTTCTCTTCCAGTCTCAGCCCTATACTCAAACTAGGCCCTGTGACAATCCCTGCTCAGGGAGACTACTTCCTGGGAGGTTGGCCAATCAACTTGGCCGCCCCCTGCTGACAGTTCTTTTTACTGCACAAAGACCACCAAACTCCAGGGTTTGGTTTTTTAAAAAAAAAAAATTTTTTTTTTAGGGTTTTTTTTTTAAACTCGAGTTTTCTTGAAACCTCTCTCTCCAATTTTCCAAATCTTTGGCTGCAGATCAAGAGGGATTTACTTTCTACATTCAAAAAAGCATTTCTGGCTGATTCTGGGCACTCCAAGATAGTCTCACTGCCGTCAAGTTGGTTTGGACTCATGCTGACCCTCCATCAGGTTTCCAGAGGGTTGTAAATCCTTAAAGGAGACAATTCATATTTCTCTGGAGAAGTCAATAGAGGATTTGAACTGCCAGAAAGATGCTCAGCCTACGGTTTGGCAGCACAACTCGCTATGACTATACACCAGAGCTCCTTATCTTAACTAGACCCTTTGATATAAAGGATGAGGCCATGTCCTTTCTCATTCCTCAGTAAGGTCTACCCTCTGAAAACACAGGAGCGAGCTCTCATGAGGGTAATGAAGGAACAAAGAGAAATATGGAGGCAATGCCAAGAGGCCTGGCTGATGTGGCTCACCTCCTTCACAGCTGTGCGCAGCTGCTGCAGGGCAGTCTCCCTCC